AGTATGAATGATTGTGCGTTAGCGTGTATGTAGTAGACAATAGTAGTGAAAACTAGTGTAATTGTATCTTTGTACATTAACCCATGGGTACCCATGAACCTGCGGATACCCAGCGGGTTGGGTTGGGTTTGAGTTTCCCAAATCCAGTGGGTTTTACCCCAAGGTTTTTTTGGTGGATAAACCCATGGGTTTGGCATAACTCGCCACAACCTGACCCATTGTCATCTCTAGTGGCTATGGAAGTGTATTTTGCCTAAAATATTTTTAAAGTAAATTATGACGTGGCAAGTGAGGCTGAGTTGTCGTTGATGTGTGCGCATCAATTTGGCATCCTAGCCAGCGTGGCATTAACCTAACTAAAGGAATCTCTAACACCGTTAAAGTTTGTAACGATAATGGCTAGATTTGTCAAGCAACTATCAGAATTCTCGCTATTTCGTGTATTTCAAAAGTTGTAGCTATATCTGTCACAAACGTGAAAGTTGTGGCTATGGAAGTATATTTTGCCTTAATGTAAATAATAGTAAGTAACTTCTAAATTTCATGTAAAATATTTCAAACATGACCAATATTGTGATAAAACTAATTACTATAAATGATAAAACAAAACTCATTCAACCAATCGAATGAATCAAAAGTTAGTTCATGCCTTAAATTGCTTTACATACCTAACTAATCAAAATGAATAATCAGGTTCATCTTCACTCATTTACATGTTCTTATCTAATCATGTCGGATTAGCAAGAGGTTTAAGATTTAGTGGTTAACCGAGATAAAACGCTTAGAAAACCAATCTCATATAGTTTGCATAAAGATATCATTGCTTTATAATAGTTATAAAAATGAATACAAATTTAAGAAATCTACATGGCTTCTAGATAATAAATGCTAGCAATATTCTAAATCAATGATAATCTAGACAGATTAAGTATTAACCTCTAATTAAATTAATTAAAATATTAAATCAGAATATCAAACACTCAATAATACTTTCTGGAGACTTAGTGAGCTAGCAAATCATGGTGGAAAAGTCCTTCAATTTTCAGATATTAGCTTCGTGTGCGTTTTTAATTTAGAAAGATACACCAGATTTGTTTGGTGCAATTGGTTTTGATTCTTATCTTTGTCTGAAGAGACCTTGGTTCAAATTCCAATTTTATAATTTTTTCTAAAAAGAAGAAATTAATAATTTTGAGTACAAAATACTGTTGGAGGTGCTACTAGCCAAATTGAGACTAAGTAGTGGCGCACCAACTGAAGACGATACTAGTGACGCCAAATTAAGACGAAGTACTAGCGCACCAACATTGTGGCAAACTAGCATGGTGACACCCAACCCGCCATGCTACCGGTGACGCCCAACCTATTGTGTAACTGGTGTCTGCTACGTCTATTTAAGGGCTTCCAAACTCTCCAAGGACTCTTCTTCTCCTCCCTCACTTTACACTTTGACTCTCTCTCTCTCTCTCTATATATATATATCTCTCTACACTTCATCTCTCTAAATAATCTCTCATATCTCTCTACACTATATACTGACTTGATCGTCAGAGTATAATCCGGGGGAATCCCCGTATTCCACAAGTTCATTTCCTCGCAACGAGATCAGACGAACAAATCATGAGTCAAGCCTACACAACAAATCATTATCATTCATGCCTTGAGCTAGATGGTACAAATAATTTGCATCCACCGTGGGGCCAGACTTGTGCTTTCGTTTGTTTGATTTCTGAAAGAGGAGAAAATCTCAAGAAGCTACTTAGGAAAAAAAGGAACGAAGGATCTCCAATCATCTCACATTGGTGCTGGACACTGAAAAGGAAATCTTTTCCTCCTTACCCACGACTACACCCAACAACTGCAGTCGAGATTCCCTTCTCTATTAGGCAAACTCACTTTCAAGAAGAGAGAGCAAGATTCCCATATCCAAATTTCGTCGTTGCATCTGAACTCCTCCAGCGTTCTGAAAATCTTCACCATATTTTTTTAATTGAGAAAGGTATGATAAAACGAAGAAGATTAAACCATGAGTTGAAAGTAGAAATCGCATCCAAATTCCGGTGACCTTGTTAGCTGTCGACGCTTGCGGTGCCAGAGCTCCAATGGAAGCAAGAAGAAATTCCAAATCGAGAAGTTCTTCTCCTAGGAAAAGAATGGATCAAGCTAGCACTTTACTCAAAGTTTTATGCCATGGGACCTTCCCTCTCATAGACATCAATAAAGTTTAGAGAAAAAAGAAAGAAAAAGAAAGTGGTAAGATCCCGACAATTTTGCTGGACGCAGACATGTTCAAGGCTGGAGCTCCCGTCAATCGCCAACATGACCTGCTTCTCAAGAATCCGACTGCTTTGTTACAGTTGGCATCCCTGCAGTCGAGAAAGAGTGAATAGACAGGGCAAGTTTCTCTCTCTGTCATAAGGAAGAGGTGTATTTCCCGAGAAAACTTTGCACAAGTTGGTTCCAGCCTGTAAACACATCAGTGACCATGCAACAAGGACGGCGACACTTCTCTTTGTGGCCACACGACTAGACAATGATGCTCCCTTCCACCTCCTATTCGCCAAACTTCTCTGAGCGACATTGATTTGTGGGCACTGAGCTTCAATTCACGGTGACACGCTTCCAGCTATTTTGCACTCTCTCCTACCTCCACTCACATCAATGACAGTGTGACAAACTGAATGTCTCTCGGTCTTCGCATAGCCGAACTTCTCTAATGGTGTTGTGCTTTTTGCTTCTCTGCACACTATGTTCTCTCTGCTCCAGCCTCTGCTCTCATCACTGATATCACGCGACATGAAAGAGCCCTTCTCACCAAAACCACTCGACGTCGCTTCTCTCTACCTTTATGAGAATGCTTCAAGAAGAGAAATGTTCATCCTGTCGTCTTAACCCCACCACCAACAACGTGCTGACCGCCGCTACGTCATCCACCAAAGTCATGGACGCCGCGTTTTGCTGGCCGACCAGTCTGCCATTTCTCCTAGAGCCGGTATCCCAATCGGCGAATATAAAGTAAAACGAAAAGGAGGAAAACATCACCGTTCTCTTTTGGGAATGCAAAAACATGCAACAGGTTAAAGAATAAGAAAGAAAAGGAAAAGTCAAATAATTCCGCACAACGAAACTCCTTCCATAATTGGAAAACCACCGGCCTATGTCTCTAGACCTCCTACGCCAAACTTGAAGCCTGCTCATCAGATTGTCGAAGCTCGCATAACCACTTGGCCCGCATTTCCTCAATCCATTCAATTCGCCAATCCTTCTCCCAATGTAGCCCGTTTCGCCCCATTTAAACTCGACTTCATCTCCAATTCGCGGCTCACGCATCAAGCTAGCCTCCACCCATGCCATTAGGCTTTGCGACCCCCACCACTATCTTTCAACTCACGCCCCACTCGCGCAGAAGCAACTCGCGGCCCACAAGATTCACCCGACCCTCCTTGTGATTCTGTGAAGTGCGAAGCATCCCAAAAATCATGCGCGTGTGAAGGGATTTTACTCAGAATTCTACCATTTGCGTGTATGCATATGGAACCAGTGAATTACATGGCCACCTCATGCTCTCACAGGCGCGGCGCCAAAATTTAATGATTCTTCCTACCGCCTCTCCAAATTAGAGATAAGTACTTCACTTCTCTGAAACATCTTATTTTCTTAAAATATTGGGATTCTCATGAGCGCTAATGGGGTGCACGATGTACCAAGCAACATGAGATATGATCAACCCAATGAAGTGACATACGACCACCGCCCATATCACTTTTCGTGCCTCGAATAGTCAATATTACATGGGTCCATTTCCACAACGTATGAGCACCTCCCAAATCACGACATGTGCCAAGACTAGTCAATGTTACATAAAGCTCCAATGAAAGAGCGATCAACTACCTTGACATACAATATCTGAGCGCTCAACTACCTCTACATCCAACGTGAGAGCGCTCACCGCCTTGAAGATTCCAAACTGAGGGTAAAATAAACCTCGATGAAGAGAGCATTCATGTAATACTCGACGGAAGCACACAAATAAGACTTTCGACAAGAGCATTGGTGAATCTCTAATATGGGAGCGCTCGACAAGAGCATTATTAGTAGTTTAAAAACTATGTGATTCATATTAAAAATTTGAATCATGGCTAGTGTTGTATGATAATGAATAAACAAAATTGTGATAATCAAGTACCAGTAAACAGAATAAAAAAACTAAATAGGTTTTCATTTTTAGAATTCAATTTTAGAATTCATCAAAAATCCTAACTGAACAAATTTTCTTCCGGTGTTATTTCTTGACAGTTTCATTTTCATTTTAATTTGTTTTCTATTATGATAGTTTAGCAAACAAAATAACAAGTAAACGATTTATAAAGTTGTTTCACCGTTTTCAACTAATTTGTGTTGTGTTGTCAACTCCCGCCACTACAACAACATATAAGACAAAATTAAATATATTTTCAGTCTATATTCACCTGTAATAATGAAAGGGTTAATTGCATGGTTGGTCACTATGATTACAAAAAAAAGTTTAAGTTTGGTCACTAGAAATATTTAAATCTATTGGTGGTACTTCAGTTTACTAAACCCGTTCACGTTTGGTCACTCTCCGTCCAACTCCGTTAACTTTGGCTGATGTGGCAGTCAACTCTAAAAGTTGACCGTTAAATGTGTGACGAGGCAATTTAAAAAGAATAAATTAATAAAATTAATTATTTTAAAAATTGTCATCTCATTTCCACCTCATTATCATTTTTATTTAAAATAAAGACAAAATCCTAATTTCTTCTAATCCCAATATCATACCCCGCCGTCGCTGCCGCTTCTCATACCCGGCAATAGAGCGATGGAAATAGAGCATGAAATCTCTCCCGCACTTTGACCCGAGAAGCTTCACCCGACATGTGGAAATCCATTGCCAGTACTGCACCGGGTCGTTTCACCAGCAGCACTCCGATCTCCCGGCTCGGGTCCACAGGAGCTGACTCTTCTTCCCCTGGCACCAGATGTACCTGCACTTCCACGAGCGGATCCTCGGGATCCTGATCGGCAACGAGACCTTCGCGCTACCGTTTTGGGGTTGGGATTCGCCTGACGGGATGACCCTGCAGGAGATCTACCTAACCGGGTCGTTCAACGACCACCACCGTGACGACGACGGCGGGTTTCACACAGCGACGCAGATGGGGAGCGGGCACTTCGCCGGGGAAGGGTTCGGAAAGGCATCCTACTTCCGAAACTGGCAAGTGGTGGAGTGGGACAACAATCTCGTCCCTGTGTCGTCCAACCTACTCAAGCTATTGGCCGACCGCCTCAACTGCTACGACATCCAAGGCGGGATCAACAGAGTTTGGGGCAACTATTTTTACTATGGAGGTCCTCGAACAAACATCAGATGCCCCTAGCTACCTCTACCTATATATCAAAGTGATATGGCGGGTTCTCCTCTGTTTCCGTCTCTCTGTTGCCGGGGTATGAGAAGCCGCAGCGACGGCGGGGTATGCGGCCGACGGGTATTGGTATTGGGGATTAGAAGAAACTAGGGTTTTTTTATTTTATTTTAAATAAAAGTGATAATGAACTGAAATGAGATGATAATTTTAAAAAATTTAATTTTATTATTTTTAAATTGCCACGTTACACATTTAACGGTCAATTTTTAAAGTTGACCGCCACGTAAGCAAAAGTAAATGGAGTTGGACGGAGAGTGACCAAACATGAACGGTTTTAGTAAACTGAAATACCACCAATGGATTTAAATATTTCGAGTGACCAATCTTGAACGTTTTTTGTAATCTCAGTGACCAACAATGCAATTAACCCAATAATGAAAAATAAAAACAGAAACTATGATACTAAATGCCTTTGGCTTTCACCCTTATAATACCCTTCTACATACCAATTACCAAACATAGTGTTGCCAAATAGTGTTGAAACACTGCACAGTGATCTGTATTTCTTTACGACGACACTGAATGGAAGAGGGTTTTCTAAAGGGGAAGTATGTTTTCGATGGTAGATATTGGCTTAGCTGAACTGATATTGCTGAACTGATAATTCTTACCATGGGTTATTAAAAGGCAGGCTTACAAAGACTACGATGCAACGGTGTAATGTTCTGTCTCTAGCTGCACAGCTTAAGAACGCTTAAATATCTGTCATCGTAAAAAAATTGTCTTTCAGAACAATGCTTAATTGTTGATATCAGGAAAGCAGGTATGAGACATAACTTGAAGGCATGCGGCTCCAAAATTACAATCTTAAGAAAAAAAAGTTTTTTTCTCTCTGTCTCTAGAGAGCTCTCTGTCTCTAGAGAGCTCTCTGTCCTTTCACTGTCTTGACAGTGGTGACGTTTCATTTTCCTGTTGGTCCTTCTCGTTTGATCAGGGTTTCCGCCCTGCTCCCATCCTTTTCCTTAGTCTCGTGGACTCTGTCCCTTCCTAAAGGTGTGGTTTTCTTTGTTCTGTTGGTGAATTGCTGACGGTCTCCCACTTGGGTTGTTTGGTCTGCGCCTGTGTCTGTGAGTGTGTCTTTTCATCTCCCGCTGAAATGGAAGAAGAACTAGCGCTAAAGCTATCTGGAGTTGACCTCACAGAGGATGAAGAAGCTATAATAAGCCTTGATGACACTGTTACGAATGAAGGGGTGGAAGAGGTTATCAAAGAGCTCGGTGTAGTTGGCAAGCTGATAGCAGGAACCCTTCCTCCTACAAGAGTCCTGAAAAGAATCTTGAGCGAAGCTTATAGATTAAAGAAAGAATTTGATTTACTAGTAACGAGAGAAAGACTATTGAAGATCCAACTTTATTGTTTTGAAGACAAGAATAAAATTCTATATGGTGGCCCGTGGCATCTTGAAAGGCAGCTTCTGGTTTTCAAAGAAGTCCCCCCGGACCTGGAGATAGAAAGAGTCGACTTTTCGAAAGCAGAGTTCTGGGTGCGAATAAGAAAACTCCCCTGAAACTCAGAAACCTGCAAATGGCAGAAAAGATTGGTAAGATGTTTGGAGAGTTCATAAGATGGGACGAACTACATTCTGGAATTCACAGCGAATACATGAGAATTAGAGTATCTACTGTGATCTCCAAACCGCTAAGAAGAGTGATCAAACTACAGGGAAGTGAAGGCCCTATTTCATACAAAGTGGGATTCGAAAGACTTCCTATGTATTGCTTTGGATGTGGTGTTCTGGGCCATCTCAAGAAAGAGTGCAGTAAGAGGGAAGAACTGGATGAGAAAAAGGAGGACCCTTATGGAGGCTGGCTTAGAGCTGAATCGCCCCTAAAAAGAGTCCCGATGAAGGAAAAAGGCAAGACACAACAGCTGGCTAAGCTGTGGGAAGAAGTGAAGGCATCAAAAACACTACAGGCAGAAAAGGAAGAAGCTAAAAAGAAGACAGGAGAAGGAAATGGGATGGCTGAAAACCTCCTTAAGGGGTCACAAAATCCTCAGATACAAGGAGCCAAAGTAAATGATGGGATACAGTGGGGGTACTCAGAAAATTCCGCTGCTCACACTGCCATAACTTGTTCTGAGTCTATATTTAAAGGATGCAGAAGATGTAGCTACTAAAGATAAAGAAGTCGAGCAAGATCTACCCTCGAAGTCAGTATCAGTAATAGAACCTGCGAGTGGAGAAAAGGGAACAAATAGCAAGAAGTGGATCAGGATCAATAGATCCCCCTGCCTCTCTTCTGATCAGGCACTAAATTTGGTTATGGGAAAGCGCGGGACACTAGATGATATGGATGTGGATTTGGTGTCCGTAGTGGAAAAACGTCCTAAAGCAAACTCCAACTTAAATATGGATGGCGGAATGGCGGTCCTTGCCGAGGAGCAAGGCCGCCCAGCCCAATGAAGGTGCTAAGCTACAACTGCCGGGGTTTGGGCAGCACCCGAGAAGTTGCTAAGCTCAAAAAGCTTGTCCGAAAACAAAACCCACACTTGTTGTTCCTAATGGAAACTAAGAAGGATGAAAGAGGTTGGAAGGAAATTCAAAAGGAGCTGGGCTTCTCAGGGGGTTGCGGGGTGGCCGCCAGCTGCACTAGAGGGTGGAAAGCAGGGGGTCTCTGCTTATTTTGGACTGATGAGATTCTGGTAACAAAGCTTGGCGATTCCCTTCACCATATTGACGTGGTAATTGCCTCAAATGATGAGAACGAACGCTGGAGATTTACTGGATTCTATGGATGGGCTTCTCGAAATGAAAGGTTCCAGTCTTGGGATCTCCTCCGTGGTCTGAGAAATGGCTGCAATCTCCCCTGGGTTTGTATGGGGGACTTTAACCAAATCCTTGCTGGTAAAGAGAAGAAAGGGGGCAGACTGATTGACGAAAAACAAGCTTCGGAATTCAGGGAGGCGTTAGAATTTTGTGGCCTTCTGGACTGTGGATTTACAGGTTACCCTTACACTTGGGAAAACAATCGATCTTGTGAGGGTTCTGTCGAAGAGAGGCTGGACAGATGTGTTGCAAGCTGGGATTGGAAGACGTTATACCCAAACCACCAGCTTAGCCACCTGGATCGTTGTGGCTCTAATCATTGCCCAATTATGCTATACACTGCAGGGAAAGATGATGAGGAAATTCGATGGGGCTGGTACTTCAGAGTGGAGCCCTTTTGGCTGAAAGAAGCAGAATGTGGGAGCATTATCACTAGGGTGTGTGAAGGAAGTCAGGGAGGAGACATTACCACCATCCTAAAGGACTGTAAAACTGAACTCACCAATTGGAGTAAAGTCAAGTTTGGAAATATCAAAGGAAGGATCGAGAGAATCGAGAAGCTCCTAAAGGGATTCAAATATAAGAGGAAGACGAATACTATGATCGAACAGAGAAGAGCTCTTGAAGAAGAAAGAGATGAATTGATCTATCAAGAGGAGATGATGTGGAAACAGAGGTCGAGGGCAGACTGGCTGGGCAGGGGGGACAAAAATAATAAATTCTTTCATTCTAAAGCGACAGTCAGGAGAAAGCGTAACACTATAAAATTGCTACAGGATGACAACGGGAGAGTTCTCAAGGGGCAAAAAGAAGTTATGGGACATCTCAGTGATTATTATAAAACCTTGTTTACTAAAGGATCTATTCCTAGTTCTGATGTGGTTACCCAGGCACTGGAAAGGAAGATTACCCCAGCAATGAATGAGAAACTAATCTGCCCATTTAGAAGTGAAGAAATCAAGGATGCCCTCGACCAGATGAGTCCAAACAAAGCCCCGGGCTCTGATGGGTTCTCAGCAGGTTTCTTTCAGTAGAATTGGAAAGCTATTGGACCAAAGGTAACTCAAACTGCTCTAAACTTCTTAAATGGAGGGTCTCTTCCTCCTGATCTAAACCATACCTTGATTGTTCTTATCCCTAAGGTGAAGAATCCGTCAAGTGCAAAAGATTTTAGGCCGATCAGCCTGTGCCAAGTCATATACAAAATCATCTCGAAGGTCCTTGCTAATAGACTTAAACTTATTCTTGATGATATTATATCTGAAGAACAGAGCGCCTTCGTGCCTGGTCGGAGTATAACTGACAATGTGATTGTTGCTTTCGAATGTTTCCAGTATATGAAGCAAAAAGAAAAGGGAAAGGAGGGGTTCTTTGCAGCAAAACTCGACATGGCTAAAGCCTATGATCGAGTGGAATGGTTCTTTCTTGAGAAGGTTATGAGGAAACTTGGCTTCAATGAAAGGTGGATCGATTTAATCCTTAGATGTGTTTCTTCAGTCTCCTATTCTGTTTTGGTGAATGGACATAAATCGGAGGTTTTTTCTCCTTCGAGAGGCCTGAGACAAGGCGATCCGTTGTCACCATATCTGTTCCTCCTATGTGCAGAGGGTTTCTCGGCAATCATTAAGAAAGCTGAAAGAGAAGGAAAACTTAATGGGATTCAGATTAGAAGGAAAGCTCCAAAAGTGTCTCACTTATTGTTTGCAGACGACAATGTGGTTTTTGGGAGGGCATCTCTAAAGGAATGCGATTTTCTCAGGGATCTATTACGCTATTATGAAAAGGAATCAGGCCAAATGGTCAACTATACTAAATCTGATATCTCGTTTAGCAAAAATGTGAGATGCAGCAGGCGATTGGAGATTTGTGGCACTTTGGGAATCAAGGAGGTGGACAAACACCCTAAGTACCTGGGTCTTCCCACCGTCATAGGAAGGTCTAAGAAGGTGATCTTTGAAGAATTAAAAGAGAGGGTTCGAAAGAAACTGAAAGACTGGAAGGGCAGAACTTTATCTCAAGCGGGTAAGGAAATCCTGATTAAGGCAATTGCACAGGCCCAACTTATGTACCCTATGAATGTGTTCTTAATCCCTGAGGGGATTATCAAAGAAATTCAGAGCATGATAGCTTCATTCTGGTGGGGTCAGAAGGGTAAGGAAACAAAAATTCATTGGATCAAATGGGACGAACTCTGTGATAATAAAGAGGAAGGTGGTATGGGATTTAGGGACCTAAAGGCTTTCAATTTTGCGATGCTTGGAAAACAGGTCAGGAGAATTATGGAAAGACCTAACTCTCTGATGGCCAAAACTCTGAAGGCCAGGTATTTCCCTAAGACTGACGTTTTAGATGCCAAAGAGGGATATAGGCCCAGTTACATTTGGAAAAGCATTGTTACTGCTAAGGATAAAATTAAGCAGGGATTCAGATGGAAGGTGGGGAATGGGGAGTCAATTAGAGTCTGGGAGTATGAATGGATCCCTGGGAAGAGTTACTACTGTGCTGATCCCATTCATGGTGATATGGACAGTAACGAATTGGTGAGTTCCCTGATTGATTTTGAGAGAAGCAGATGGGACCAGGCTAGACTACAAGAGAGGTTGTCTAAAAGTGACTGTGCCCTGGTTTCAAAAATTCCCATTCAATCTCCCCCCCAGAAAGATAGAAGGGTTTGGAAGGAGTCTGATGATGGGGTCTACTCGGTGCGGACAGCCTATTTCAGAGTTCGGGAACAACGGCGTGAACTTCAGACTCAACATTTTACGCCATCAGAAGAGGATGTGGAATTCTGGAAGCTACTGTGGAAAACGGATGTACCCCCTAAAGTTCGTATCTTCCTATGGAAAGTGGGAAGGGATATCTTACCTGTGGGTAGCAATGTAGTAGAGTGGATTGAGGATGCTTACTCGGGCTGCCCTGTCTGTGGACTACCAGAAAATCATATCCATGCGCTTCGTGATTGCAGCTGGATAAGAAACAGATGGAGTCAGTGGGAAGGCAAAAATTTGTTCGAGATCGGAGAAGGTAAAACTTGCTTTGATTGGCTTAAAGAAGTATGGAAGGCTTATGACAAAGAAAAAATACAACGATTCAGCGTTGTGCTGTGGTACCTTTGGAAGGAAAGATGCAACCACTGGAACAACAATCCGAAACTTGACGAAGATGAGATCATCCCCCGGGCGTTGAATTGGCTTAACTCCTATCTGGATGCTCGAGGCCCAGTGGTTCAGCAACCCCAAAGCGAAGAAAATGGTGCAGATTCATGCGGTTGGGTGCCGCCTCCTGAATGGGTCTTCAAGTTAAACTCCGACGCGGGTATTCTGAACCAATCGGGAATCGGATTGGGATGTATTCTTCGGGACTGGAGGGGGGAGTTTAAGGGGGCGACTGGAATGAAGGAAAAGGGGGTTTGCAGACCCATCGAAGCGGAGGCGAAAGCCATGATATTGGGGCTGAAGGAAGCGAATCGGAAAGGGCTGAGCCCTCTTGTGGTGGAAGCAGACTGCCAGATGCTAATCAGTAAACTTAGGAAGAAGGAGGAGGATCGGACTGAAGTGGGCAGCTGGTGCAGTGAGATTTGGAAATTGGCTGAAGTTAATGCAAGCTTCTCTAGGATTCAGGTCGAATGGAGGTTTACGCCACGAAGAAACAATGGTGCTGCCCACTGGTTGGCTCACTCTTTGGGGATTTGGGACCATAAGTTTGTGTGGGTGGATAACCCTCCACTGTCTCTGCTCTGCGTTTTGGAGGCGGATTTGAGACGGTTTTCTTTGAATCCAGTGTAACCTTTTCTTCTAATATTAATACAGGTTCCAGTAAAAAAAAAAAAGACATAACTTGAAGGCAAAGGAAAGAGCAGCGAAATCCGGAAATGTACTACTATATTTAAAAAACTAGCTTGTAACCCGACCCGTTGGTCGGAGGAGCTGAGCCGAATATTGAATTATTGGGATAACCCGTAGATTCAACCATTAAGCTAAATTGGTCTAATGGTGAGTACCGCCTAGCATATCCCTAATAATCATACCAAAGTGAATATATTGGAACATAAACAGTACATCAAAAGTTGGTACAACCATGAAGTTAGACCATTAAAAACATACCAATGAAATTGAATAGCATCGAAAAACTTCAACTTCATTATATAATTACATGAGATCAGAAAGAGAACACCATTAATTTGATTTATAAAACTTTCATCTTGTCGTCATTGTGCTTTCTGGTTTTTGTCAGGCCATGATAAAATCTAAGGAAATCAAGAACGAACAACACGATTTGGGATAGGAACCGCCGTTGTCGTATTCTAGAGAATGGTGGTAAACACGGACTCACCTGCCAAACTGGTTTGGATTGAGATTTTTATCGGGTATCAGGGAACCATGTGATTATAAATTAGACTTGATCAAAACGGGCCAAAACTTAAAATTCAGCCTGTTTGACCGACCCATGCGAAATTCTAATTATTCGTTACTTTTAAACTTTCTATTTGAAAATAAAAAATAGTGAAAGAAAATAGATGACTGCAATTCGCCATTTGCACATCACTTATTCGGGAATAAAACCATAGAAATTCAAAAGAAACTGAAAATGTTTAGGATTGTTTTAATGTTTAAAATAACCAAATAGATCTTTATGTTTAGTTTTTTACTAACAAATACCAAACGATTCCCTATAAAATACACTATAATGTTATCATTATGATATCAAATAATTATATAATATATATTTGAAATGATAAAAATTGGACTAATTGGGTTGGTCGAGATTGAACCATTGAATAACTTTATACTACATTATATTTTAGCCACTAAAATATAAAATAATATAATAATATATATTATGCTAGAGAAAATAGCTTGTTTTAGAATGTCAAACCAATGATGTTCATTTGTTTTACTTGATGGCCAAATCCGGTGTAGGTCAGGCCCATTCAACTCTTTTATTTTATGGTTAGCGGTTAGCCCTTTAGATACCATGCATTAGTTTATTGTTAAATTTTTTTTTATTTTTAGCATAAAAAGAAGTATTGTTTTTGCCTTTTCATATATATTTTATCACCACGGAGAAATACAAGGGCTTAAAGAAAAAAATTGACACTCCTGAACCCGTTTAAATCCGCATATGTACTGTAAGTTGGCCCGTTCCACAGAGGAAAGAGAAAAAAATTAACACACCCTATTCTACCCTTCCTACAAACGCTCATGGAGCAGGGAATTTGAAATGGGGGGAGGAGTTTTTCCTCCCTGCTATTATATGTTTTTGATTTAAAAGGATACAACAAATGTACTTAGTGTGATTGATTATGTTCCTTGCTTTTCTTTAAAATGGACATGGTTCGAATCCTAGTACGTGTCTTTTTAATGAATAAAAAAAAGTAATTGTGAAGACCAAAATGTCCTCCCTACTTTCACTCTCGTTGCAGGAAATTTGAAATGGGGCTCCCATTTTTCCCTTCGGTGTATTATATTATGTGTAGATTTCGCCCTTTGGAATATAACAGTCTAGACTTGGGTCAATTTATAATCCAGCGTCAGTAGCATCTTTCAACACCCAACCACGTACACAACTTTGGAATATAACAGTCTAGACTTGGGTCAATTTATAATCCAGCGTCAGTAGCATCTTTCAACACCCAACCACGTACACAGACAAGTTCCCAAATCAAAATTAACTATGATTGATCTCATATGCCGACACAGATGACGATAACATCACCTTCATCGAGCTCTACCACTGCTCATTTCTTCTTTCCACCCTTGGCTGCATCTCCAGCCTTGGTCTGTGCATGAGCATAGATAGTGGTTAGGGAAACTTCAAAGATATGGCAGAGTCACAAGATGAAAAGTCCAATGATCCAGCAAAAAGGGGGAAAAAGTTCTTTGTCAAGTAAGCAAGATGAGGCTTACCTTCTTTACACCACGGATCTTTTTGGCCCTGTTTTTCCTTTCCTTCATTTGCTTCCTCGACTTCTCAACCTTGGTAGCAAGACCATTCTGCAAGAAGAATCAGGGAAGTTTTATTATTTGGTGCATTGAAAATGGAAAACACATCCGAAATGTTAACATGAAAAAGATGACATACCCTGATCAGTCTATATTTGGGCTCGTATTTCTTTGCATTGTCAACAGAGTCATAAATCAACCCAAAACCAGTGGACTTCCCACCTCCAAAGTGTGTCCTGAACTTGAACACAAAGATAGAATTCGGGTCCTTGACGTCATACATATCTTTCAACTTCTCCTTCAATTCAGCCTTTAAAAAAAAAAGGAAGACAATTGAACAACAAAAGGTTAAGTGAAAAACATCACAGCCTGATGCACAGATTGAACTAGGTTAAGTGAAAGAGAAACAGAAATGCTTGAACTAAGTTTGTGATGTGGACATACCTTGGGGACATTGGCCTTTCCGGGATGGAGGACATCGATAACCTACATTTATCAAGCAACAAAAAACATCAGACCCAAACTTCTCCAGCTGACCCTAGAATAACCTTGAAAGTAAAGTTTAGGAGCATACATAATCACTTAAGAACTTAAAGGTATCCTGATTACAACAGCAAATTATCTAAGAGACATAGGATCAGCATGTAATTGCGAAGCACCACTATAGCTATATCATTGGCATAAATAAAAGCCCATTTCTTAGGCTAAACTCACATGCTAAATATGTTTTTGATGAATGACGATTTCATTACAATAAAACAAATTAAGAAAGACTTCCACAAGAAAAGGGCAAGAAAAAATGAGTGGCAATCTGAAAACCCAGCATGAGACGTGCAAATAGCAGAAAACAAAAGCAGTCCTGGCCTAACAAAATAGCAGCAATGCTGCAACCAACGCATACAGTGAGATCCCTCTTCATGGTTGGCGACTTGGGATGTTTGGGATTGTGGAAAAGGCTTGTATGTGTATATGAATGGATGAATAATGATATGGTGACTTGGGTTTTTGTAGAATATGGCTTAGCTATCATATTTTTTTTCAACGTTTAATCTCGCCTAGGCAACGACTAAACGGCCTGGGCACTGGACGGTGCCTCTTCGCCTAGATAGCGCCTAGCGTCTTCTTGAACATTGCAAAAAACCATACTCAACGCACACCAAAAACATCTAAAAACCATCTTCCTCCCCGCAGACCACGTCCACTCCGCCAAGAAGAGACAGCAGCAGCAAACCCTCAAACAGATTATATGTCTCCCTACATGCTAATATTTCTTTCGCGGACGAAACAATTCTCTCTAAGGCCATGAAACTTTGAACAGAGATAACAGCGATAGCCAAGTGCTCCAAAAACCAAATCACTACGCAAGCAAATCCACTAAATACTAATAAGCTGTCAGTCATTTCAAGTGCCCAATTAACAGTTAACAGTGCGCTGTGAGACCTTCACCATAAAACTTCCGTGGCACAGCTTAGAAAACTAAATATCTCGAAAGCAGCGGAACAGGACTAGACGAGATTCATGAAGATAGTATACACGGCCTCAGAGATCTTGGCGGATACAAAACTCATCAAGCAGACTCTTCCGAATCCGTCAAGAGTAGCAAATATCTTGTTCTCGCATCATCGGCCGATCAAAAGAGCTTAAGAACTACAGCAGATACGCCGCAGGCGCAAGGAAAAATGAGTGAAGAGAAAAAACGAGGCCACTTACAAACTGCTTTCGGGAGAGGAGGCGGTTCGTCATGAATTTTCGGGTGCGGATGGTCACCGCCTTCTCTACCTTGCTGCTGTCCGCCATGGTTGCTGCTCGTCGAGATGCAAAATGCGGCTAAAACCCTTGCAGCGAATCGCAGAAGAGGTCTGAAGCGGCTGAAAGAGAGGGGGCACCGTTTGGCACTTGTCAGTTGTCATAGCTTTATATAAAACCATAAAAATTCAGCTGGGCCTGTTTCTGATGGGCTTTAACGATCCCATTTTGGGCCTTACTTGTGGACCATTCCCCCGAACTTACTAGATGAGTGATGACCGAGCTTTTGGGCTTTAGGAACGTAACATCATCAATTTCAATTCGAAGGATTGCTGGTCACTTCTGTAGTTCTGTGTTCCGAAAGGGCTGACAACTCTCCATCCTTGCACCTCATTAAAATCTAAGGATTCTTATTAATCCAATTTAATGAAGGGTAGTATAGTAATTACATATTTATTTTTAACTTTTAATTATAAAAGGAATTAAAAAATAAAAATTAACCCAGCCCGTTTCCGTCCCCTTCCTTTGCTCTCGCGCCGCCGGCCACTTTGACTCCGCGGCGCGGATTCCTTTGCTGCGCCACCGGGAATAATCCCCTGCCATTCCTTTGCTGCCATTTATTACTTTGCTGGGGAATTTCCCCCCAAATGCAACAAGAGAGAGAGCTGGGCATTGTTATTCTTTTGCTGGGGAATTTTGGCTCCCTGGAATTATTTGTTGGCGCAGAGAGGAGAGTTGGATTTGTGATGTTTGCTGACCTATTTTGTAATGTTTGTATAGATTCGGTTTGTATTGTTTGTCATTTTTAGTGACATTTTGTACGGTTAGTATGCTTTGTACTGTTTGTCGGTTTATTTTGTAATGTTTGTGCGCTTTGTTATTTTGTAATGTTTGTCGGGGTTTTTTTTTGTAATGTTTGTAAACTTTGTTATTTTTGTGTACCATGTTTATCATTTTTGTCAACCATGTTTATAATGTTTTTTATGTCTAAAAAACAACCTGATTGACTTTTGGATGGACCTCCTCTATATAGGGATGGAGCCTCCACAGTCAACCCGGGTGTTTTTTTCCAGTTCGTATGGATTGTCGGTCTAGTTTGTCATTTTTGTCCACCATGTTCGTAATGTTTGTATGTCTAAAAAACAACCGGGTTGACTTTGAGACAGAGCCCTCTATATAGGGATGAAGCCTCCAAAGTCAACCCGAGTGTTTTTCCAGTTTGTATGAATTTTTGGTCTAGTTTGTCATTTTTGTCCACCATGTTTGTATGTCTAAAAAACACCCGAGTTGACTTTGGGAAGGAGCTCCTCTATATAGGGATGGAGCCTCCAAAGTCAACCCGGTTGTTTTTTTTTCTTTTTGTATGGTTTATATTGTTTGTCGGTCTAGTTTGTATTGTTTGTACAGTTCATACGTTTGTAATGTTTGTAAATCTGTTTGTATGTTTTGTCGCTCTAGTTTGTACTGTTCGTATGTTTGTATGTTTTGTACTGATTGTAAATCGGATTTGTATACTTCATAATTTTCCATAATACCTAAACTACCCCTGTCATTAATTAAATAGGCATTCCCACTTTTTAACCATTGGATTGAAGTGTCCAGATCTAATGGCTAGGATGGGTTTAATCAGCTGATTAAGGACCCCCCTTAGTCATGGGATCCGCTCTCTTCTGAAAGACTGAAACAAGCATGGAATTGTGGAAAAAATCTCAAAATACATATGTTTTGAAAACAAAATCCCTAAAATATACAGGTTATAAATTTTTTTCCCAAATTACACATTTTTGGGCATCACCGCTGTTGTCAGCCGCAGTGAATGCATTCACCGCGGCAGACCAAAGCGGTGAATGCATCACCGCGGTTGACGGCCGCGGTAAATGCCTGGTGTAACACTGAAACTTCAAACAAACGTAACTTTGCGTTCGGTTATCTGATTGTAGCGAATTATTTTTTGATTCCACGTAACTTTTCAAGATCTTTCAATCTTAAAAAGACTTCATCCCAAAAAAAAAATCATTTGCTACCCCGAACGAGCAATTTTTCGATACAATTTTTTGATTTTGACAAACTTTGGAAGATCATAACTTTGTGCTCCACAATCCGAATGTCATGAAACTTTTTTTGATTTTGCATAACTTTTGAAGTACTACAACTTTTTATTATAACCATAATTTTGGAAAGTATGTGGATTTGTGAAAAGTAAAGGCAAAGTTATTCACAAAATCCCGTATACCCAAAAATACTTCTTTTTTTTTTAAATTATTTCCTATTCACAGTTGTAGTTCTTAAAAAGTTATGCACAATAAAAAAAAAACTTTACGACGTTTGGATTGAGGAGCTAAAAGTTATGTCCTTCCAAAGTTTGGCAAAATCAAAAAATTGTTCGTTAGGGGTAACAAACGACATTATTTTGAGATGAAGTCTGTTTCAGATTGAAAGGTCTTGAAAAGTTATATGAAATAAAAAAAATTCGCTACAATCGGATAACCGAGCGCAAAGTTACATTTATTTGAAGTTTCAGTGTTAAGTCAGATATTCACCGCGGCCGTCAACCGCGGTGATGCATTCACCGCTTTGGTCTGCCGCGGTGATGTCCAAACATGTGTATTTTGAGAAATTTTTTTATAACGTGTGTATTTTGGGAATTTTTTTAAAAACTTGTGTATTTTGGGAATTCATCCCGAAATTCTCGTGTCTGTCTGACAATTAAGATATAAAGAGAGAAGAATGGTTTAGTTGATGGTCTTTCAAAGCTATTATCCCAGGATCTGCAATGTGGAGACCCTATTAGCCTAACCAGCTTACATTCATGTACACAGAGGAGCGCACGGGGCATGGACGCATGGTTGCTACATTTTCCCGCTGCGCGATTTTCTGAAACGCAGACCTTCGAAGCAGAGAAGCAACGAAAGCGCTCTCTGTCTGTTTCTTGGTCTTGCTCTGTGATTTCCATGGCGGCGATGTTAATTTTAGGTACCTTTGTGTAATTTACCAGCCTTAGTCATTAGGGTTTTGCATGGCCTCTATATATAGTGTTGTTTTGTACAGCCGCTAAATCACTGTAATAAAGATTGACTTTGGAGGGTTTAGGCTCTCCCGTGGACTAGTCCTGACACTCAGGGAAACCACGTTAAATCCGGTGTTATTGTTCTCGCTTTACTTTGACATGGTATCAGAGCCACGTCGATTCAAGGCTTGATTTGTTTTTGTTGATTAGTGATCTTGGCGCAGCAGACGGATCGAAGCAGCAGTCACGTTCGGAAGAAGGTTGCAGCTGAGGGTCCTAAGATTTGTTCTTGAGGTGTGTTCTTGCGCAGTTGGTGATCACAAATCCAGTTGGTGTTTGCGAGAATGGATTCGAACAAGGCGGATACGATCGCAACTAAGTTTGATGGGAAAAACTTTCCCTTGTGGGAGTTTCAATTTCGGAACTACATAGCAGGTAGGAAATTAACGTCGGTCTTGATGGGGGAATCGAAGGCACCTGGTGCGGACTCTACCCAACAACAGAAGGATGACTGGGCTGCTCTCAACGCCCAGGTTGTGACCGCTCTCCTGGGATCGCTGGATGTGCAGACAGCACTAAGCCTCCGTCGATTCGAGACAGCTCACGAGATGTGGAAGCATATTTGCGGTACGTACTCTCAGGCGAATACCTCTCGTTTGTATGAATTGGAATTGGAAATGGCTGGCCTTGCTCAAGGTGATAGGGATGTACGAGGGTATTATAAAGATTGCTTGCACGTCTGGACCGAGTATGACCTGGTTACAGCCTCGCTGTTGCCTGGGGATGAGTTAGTTGGGATTCAGAAGGAAAGGACAAGGACTCGTGTTATGAATTTCTTGATGAAATTGAGGCCTGAGTTTGAGCCTATTCGAGCCTCACTAATTCATAGAGGGGTTACCCATCTTGAGGAAGTTGTGGCTGAACTGATTCGAGAAGAAACTAGGCTCAAAAGTCAAGCACAAATTGATCACGGATCATCGGAATCAGCCTTTGCTGTTGGACGTTCAAGTAACTCTACTAGACCCAAATTTGGCCAACAAGGCTCGGGTGAAGTTGTTTGCCATTATTGCCAAGAATCAGGCCACGTCCAAATTCATTGCAGGAAAAGGAACTATTGCAACTACTGCAAAAAGGCAGGACACATCGTGTTAGAGTGTCCAACCTTGCGCAAACAAGGCAAACCCATTCGCTTCCCCAACCAAGGAGCAGCTGGCGCGGGAAACGTGGCTCCTCGTCCAGTGCCTTCGCGTGCTGCAAAGGCAGCCTATGCTGTGACCACTTCTCAGCCTGCTGATGGGAATTCATCACAATACAATGGCGGGTCCTCTTTAACTCCTGATCAGATCCGGAAAATGGTGCAAGAGGCCTTGAATGAGGCGCTGAACTCTGCCTTTGCTACGGGTGTCACGTCGGGTAAGTATCCTCGTTGGTTGATTGATTCGGCAGCCTTTAATCATATGACCTCTGTTCGCTCTATGTTTGATAAGCTGCAGCCTGCTGCTAGTATGAACCTTCGAGTAGCGAATGGTGATCAGGTGGCGGTTAAGGGTCGTGGCACCATCTCTTCTCCTGCCATTACCCTTCCGGATACTCTATACGTTCCTGGTCTTCTCCCTAGTTTGGTTTCTGTTGGGCAGCTGACTGAGGAAGGTTGCAATGTGACTTTTAACTCAAATGGTTGTGTGGTACAGGACAAGAGGACGGGGACGGTGATAGGGACAGGAAGTAAACGGGGACGTCTCTTTGTGCTGGACGATCTGAAGGAAGCTGCAATTGCAAAGGGGTCTGAAAGTCCAGGGGGTGAGAGGGAACGTATGCATGGGCTGCATGCACACGTGGAAGATTCGGCAGCGGCAGTTACGGCAGTGAAGTCCAGCGCAGAGAAGCTGTTCGGGGTTTCGACGGATTCTGTTGATGATTTAGCTATTAATTCAGTTGGTTTGCTTTCGAATAAGAATATTTCAGTTTGGGATTTGTGGCATTGCCGGTTGGGTCATCCCAATTCGGCTAGATTGTTGACGATGTTTAGGCAGAACTTATTACCGGGGAAATTTGAGCATTCTGTGGGCTCTCAGTCGGATTGTGTGAGCTGTATTGAAGCGAAAGCTTCCCAGAACTCGTTTGAGTCCA